GAGTGTGAGTGTGTGTGTGTGTGTGTGTGTGTGAGTGTGAGTGTGTGTGTGTGTGTGTACTCAACTAATTGTGCTTGCGGGGGTTGAGCTTTGGCTCTTTGGTCCCGCCTCTCAACCGTCAATCAACTGTGTGTGTGTGTGTGTGTGTGTGTGTGTGTGTGTGTGTGTGTGTGTGTGTGTGTGTGTGTGCGTGCGAGTTTAAGGTTTCTATTTATGTGTTTTTGTGCGTATGTGAGCAGAGGAAGAAAGAGAGACAGCAAGAGAGAGAGAGAGAGAGAGAGAGAGAGAGAGAGAGAGAGAGAGAGAGAGAGAGAGAGAGAGAGAGAGAGAGAGAGAGAGAGAGAGAGAGAGAGAGAGACAGAGAGAGAGAAAGAGACAGCGAGAGAGAGAGAGAGAGAGAGAGAGCGAGAAAGAGCGAGAGAGAGAGAGAAAAAACCTCAGTAACACCGAGATACAAAACTATAGCAACTCATCAAAATGTACACAATACACTTCCTAAAGAAGAACTCCCCAGCTGTCTGGAAGCAGCTAGGAGTGTGTTGCAAGGATGACGGCCCCAACATGCTGTCTTGCAAGAGTTGTGTTGTATTAACAACATTACAGCCCATATGCAAAGCTGTCGACGCCTTGGAAGTGAGCCAAATCGCCTCAGCAAAAAGAACTCCCTTCTGCCTCCTTCCCCCATCCCACACACACACACAGGGGCCTCGCGGCTGAGTGGACAGCGTTCGGGAGTCGTTGTCCTAAGGGTTCAATCCCCGGCGGAGGCGGAAACAAATGGGCAGAGCCGGCCCCTGGTGGCTCTGTTCACCTAGCAGTAAATAGGTACCTGGGAGTTAGACAGCTGCTACGGGCTGCTCAAAAAATATAATCCGAGTCACCGCAATTATACGAATGGATTTTGATAGAACCATCGCTACTATCAATGCTTGTTATCGAACCAGATACCAGATACGAGAGGGCTGGTATCTATAACCATTATTAGTGCATGCAAGAGAATGGCTACCTATTCACCGATCTATTACTTACAAAGGGTACCTGATCAACCAGGCTGTGACTCACACGTCAGGCTGCGAGCAGCCGCGTCCAACAGCCTGGTTGATCAGTCCGGCAACCAGGAGGCCTGGTCGACGACCGGGCCGCGGGGACGCTAAGCCCCGGAAGCACCTCAAGGTAACCTCAAGGTAAGGTACAAGAGATCTTTCATTGCGCTATCATATGCAAGAGAAAATTCCCCCGATCTAATTCATACAGGAGAACTTTCACCGATCTGTCATACGCCAGACACAACAGATTGCTGGTACACAATCAACCTTGCCACACAGAACTACCTATATGATAGTGAAGAATCCTAAAACTGTACCGCATCACCATACACCATATTTCTGAGCAATGATTTCTACCAAACACACACACAGCTCCCGTGATGAGCCATCACTATCACATATGACTCCTGATGAGCCTTCACTATCACATATGACTCCTGATGAGCCTTCACTATCACACATGACTCCTGGTGAACCATCACTATCACACATGACTCCTGGTGAACCATCACTATCACACACATGACTCCTGATGAACCATCACTATCACACATGACTCCTGATGAACCATCACTATCACACATGACTCCTGATGAACCATCACTATCACACACATGACTCCTGATCAACCATCACTATCACACACATGACTCCTGATCAACCATCACTATCACACATGACTCCTGATGAACCATCACTATCACACACATGACTCCTGATGAACCATCACTATCACACACATGACTCCTGATCAACCATCACTATCACACACATGACTCCTGATCAACCATCACTATCACACATGACTCCTGATGAACCATCACTATCACACACATGACTCCTGATGAGCCATCACTATCACACACATGACTCCTGATCAACCATCACTATCACACACATGACTCCTGATGAACCATCACTATCACACATGACTCCTGATGAACCATCACTATCACACACATGACTCCTGATGAACCATCACTATCACACACATGACTCCTGATCAACCATCACTATCACACATGACTCTGATGAGTCATCACTATCACACATGACTCCTGATCAACCATCACTATCACACATGACTCTGATGAGTCATCACTATCACACATGACTCCTGATGAGTCATCACTATCACACATGACTCCTGATCAACCATCACTATCACACATGACTCTGATGAGTCATCACTATCACACATGACTCCTGATGAGTCATCACTATCACACATGACTCCTGATCTACCATCACTATCACACCGATGAATTTGACATTTATTAAGGCTCTTAAGACCAATTTCGACTTATTTGCTCCTTATCTCTGCAAAGCACATCTGTTTCCTCGTAACCAATGCTAACATTTTTTCCAATTGAGATTTGGTGCAGTTTGTGGGGGTCTGTAACGAGATTCTCTCGACTTTATACTAATCTGGTCGAGGAAGGTGAGATTGGGAGAGGGGGGGGGGGTATATATTGACCACTGGTTCGCACAGATAACAGACTCGGTCAGATGACCTCCTATCGGGTAGTCTGACCGGAAACTTGATACGCATATTGATACCTCTAGGCATGGGTAACAGAGGAGAAGGGAGGGGGGGGGGGGACTTGCTGCATGGGTAACAGCTTCTCTTCCAATGGTAACAGTTTCTCCAAGGGGAAGATACGAGGGATTGGGACCAATATTAGTTTGTGATTATATTTCAAGTACATATTCTAAAATTAATATCTGTTGATTGGCAGTCTGTTATTCCTGTTTTTTTTATATTCCATATGAATTTGGATATATTAAATATGAAAAATTAGGGTGTATCATTTTTAGTTTTATATTTATCTATAAAATTTAGTAGAATAATTATAAATTATATAATGTTGCACTTGTCTTATGTTATTTTAAATTAAATTTTTTTGTTTTTGTAATTTTACAATCAGAATATTTCAACGTTCTGTCAGCGTCATAATATAATTATGTTTCAAAGGTGTATTTTGTATATGAAAGTTAATTTTCTGCGTAAGCTGGGGAGCCGGTCGGCCGAGCGGACAGCACGCTGGACTTGTAATCCTGTGGTCCCGGGTTCGATCCCAGGCGCCGGCGAGAAACAATGGGCAGAGCTTCTTTCACCCTATGCCACTGTTACCTAGCAGTAAAATAGGTACCTGGGTGTTAGTCAGCTGTCACGGGCTGCTTCCTGGGGGTGGAGGCCTGGTCGAGGACCGGGCCGCGGGGACACTAAAGCCCCGAAATCATCTCAAGATAACCTACCCGCCAAACACACACCGAAACTACGACGTTGGTACAACGTTTTGAACAAGTTTTAACACCTCCTAACCAGTTATAACAACCAATATAACAAGTTGTAACAACGTTCTAATACGTCATAAACACGTTAAGCCAAGACGTAACAACTTTATTACAAGTTGTAACAAGCGGAAAATAGAGACAGTTTCGGTTTGTGTTTCCAGGAAATATTCTTTCACGTTAGCCAAATCGTCGCAGGTAAGGACTCATTAAGGAAATACAGACAGGTAATGTCGACTCGGGTTGAGCTCTGGCTCTTTGGTCCCGCCTCTCAACCGTCAATCAACAGGTGTACAGATTCTTGAGCCTACTGGGCTCTATTATATCTACATTTGAAAATGTGTATGGACAGCTACAGGTAATTTTGCCTACGTAATTTTCTTTTGACAACGGATGTAATGTCTTAGAAAGTGGGGAAGGGGGGGGGAGGGAAGCCTAGTTGGCGTCGTGTCCCAGACAAATCCCTCACTTATGGTTTCCAATATCATCTCTCGAAGTTTAGGCGGAAACGATTGGGAACTTTAGCATAAAATTACGAAGGGGATTTTAATTTTAATTTAGTAAGGGCTTTAGTTTTAATTTAATCAGATTTTGGTCAGGTTTTATGACATATTGGTTGATGCCAGTAGTACTTAGATATTTGTAAGGGAAAATTTAAAAACTCTAACCTCACCCAGCAACTTTTTAAATTATATATCGAGTTGAGCTAATTTACCTACACTTGGAACTCAATTTTTTTTAATTAAACTTTAATTAACTTTTTTTAATAAACTTCATTTTTTATTTATTTTTTTATTATTTTCCACCACAGACGTGGCCAGACATTTACAATGCTAACCAGAATATATATACATTTTCTTCTGTCCTCCATGGACAGGGTTAGAGATGTGTTAAACATATAGTTCAAGGGTTTATTGAACATTTAAATTAAAAGATGTATTTTATGCCTCTGAGTATCTAATTTGCATACATTTAAACTTAATTGCAAGTCGTACCACACCATTACTCTTCGTTCACTTTATAGAAACAACAAGTATTTTGTATGTCTGGATCATCACTCTCCTGAGTATTATACTTCAGAACAACGTGAGGTTCAACCAGTCCGGTCTCGTGTCATTAGAACGTCGTTAAGAAACGTAAATCGCGACTCTTACAAGGCAATTTCCATAGATTTTGGAGACAAACGCTGGTATTGGAGGAGCGGGTCCAGGAGCCTGTCGGCCGAGCGGACAGCACACTGGACTAGTGATCCTGTGGTCCCGGGTTCGATCTCAGGCGCTGGCGAGAAACAATGGGCAGAGTTTCTTTCACCCTATGCCACTGTTACCTAGCAGTAAAATAGGTACCTGGGTGTTAGTCAGCTGTCACGGGCTGCTTCCTGGGGGTGGAGGCCTGGTCAAGGACCGGGCCGCGGGGACACTAAAGTCCCGAAATCATCTCAAGATAACCTCAAGATAGGCAGTATCGGCCAAGACTAAACATTGTGGAGCACAAAAGTAAAACTGAAAAAGTGCAGAGATGTACAGAAACATTAGTGCTAGAGATGTAAAGGTTCCGCTATGAAAATTGGTTGAGGGGAACGGCGGACCTCTCCCTCAGGAGGACATAAGAAACAGAGGAGACATGATCGCTACATATAAGATACTGTGGGGAATGAAGATGGCTAATAACAGCCTCTTTAAATTGGGAGAAAGTAAGACAAGAGGACACAAGTTGAAACTGTCAAGAAATCAGTTGAAAAATTGTCAGGAAATAGTCTACGGGCGGTCAAGAAATGGACAGAAAGAAGAAGTTGTTGAAGCGACCTCAATCCACAACTTTAGGGCCAAATTTGACAAGGGTGACCCAAAATGAGCTTGACCCCTAAACGAGCTAAATAAGCTTGACCTCTCATTCCAATAGTCACTGATAGCCCAACCCGTCCTCTTAAAAATAACGTCACTTTTGGCTGGTATGCGCGATATGGCTAAATTTGGACGTAATTTGAAATGAAATCGACTCACAAAAGTGACGTTCTGTTCCGTTTTCTATTTGAGTCATCCGGCGTACGCGCAGAGGTTAGAAGAGGACACTTTAAATTAACGTTTTTCATAACGTTTTGAAACTTTATGAGAATTTCCTGCCCACCTAACCTATCAGAGGACCCTTAACTTATTGTTGTTGAAAAAAAAATCCCAAATTTATTTTCATTTTTTTTTCATTTTCAAATTACGTCCAAATTCGGCCATACGGGCAAACGGCCAAAAGCGACGTTCTTTTTAAGAGGACATGTTGATCGCCAACCACCACCACCACCTCTTCCCCTAACCAGTTTCCCTTCATCATTCCAACAATCCTCAACTACTCACCATCTTCCTCACCTACGACACTACAAAAGACAAATTAACACCTCAACACCGTTGAAAATAATTCACTGGATGAATCTTAGTATGAGCCGAATCTAGTAATTAGCGAGATTGGACACAGATATCACTTGTCATCCCATCCCAAATCTTTATCCTGATTCCTTCATGATGCTATATAGTCGTCATGGCTTGGTGCTTTTCCCTGTGATAATTCCCTTCCTTTGTCATTAAAGAGGCAGCATAGTTGCGGACCCAGACCCACCAATGACCACTCCAGTATCACCACCATCAGCCCTGCAAAGTTTGGTGATGCACGCTACAGCCGTCTTCCCTTCAGCCTTAAAAGACAGACAGACACATAATTTTGTAAATATATACTGTACATCTATTCCAAGAAAGAGACACGAAAGATTCTCTGGCAGTCTTTGAGAAAAAGTCTCTCTGATAGTCTTCGAGAGAAAGACTCTCTGATAGTCTTCGAGAGAAAGTCTCTCTGATAGTCTTCGAGAGAAAGTCTCTCTGATAGTATTCGAGAGAAAGACTCTTTCTGGCAGTCTTTGAGAGAAAGTCTCTGGCAGTCTTCGAGAGAAAGACTTTCTGGCAGTCTTTGAGAGAAAGACTCTCTCTGGCAGTCTTTGAGAGAAAGTCTCTCTGATAGTCTTCGAGAGAAAGTCTCTCTGATAGTCTTCGAGAGAAAGACTCTTTCTGGCAGTCTTTGAGAGAAAGTCTCTGGCAGACTTCGAGAGAAAGACTTTCTGGCAGTCTTTGAGAGAAAGTCTCTGGCAGTCTTCGAGAGTAACTCTTTCCGGCAGACTTTGAGTCAATTGTCCGCCCGTCCTACCCAAGTCGTGACTTATCTCCTTGGGTAAGTTTTAAATATAGATAATCGATTTGTCAGACAGGATTGAATTTTCACGAAAACGTGTTGATGCTTCGGTACTTCCTCTATTGTATCTTAAAAATCCATTAAGCAACTCTGAACACATCAGCACCCTTTAGGATTCAATATCCAGCCCCCTTCTCTCAGCTCACCACTACGTCAAATATTCGACTGTTGTGTCAAAGCACTAACGTAACAACCCATGAAACTCCAAGCCTTTCCAATCGAGGACAACGCTAAGGAAACATCATATTAAAGTGCCATGTTTCTTTGCTCATTGCTAGTATTTGTATGGGATTAGTCAATCTGGTAAACAGCGACGCATTATGTGATTGGCTGCGGGTAGATGATTGGGAGAAGCCATCTGTTGTCAGTTCCTATTCTTGTATGCTGGTATGCCTTCTGTAATCTTAGATTTCGTGTGTGTGTGTGTGTGTGTGTGTGTGTGTGTGTGTGTGTGTGTGTGTGTGTGTGTGTGTGTGTGTGTGTGTGTGTGTGTGTGTGTGTGTGTACTCACCTAGTTCACCTAGTTGTGTTTGCGGGGGTTGAGCTCTGGCTCTTTGGTCCCGCCTCTCAACCGTCTATCAACAGGTGTACAGGTTCCTGAGCCTACTGGGCTCTATCATATCTACACTGGAAACTGTGTATGGAGTCAGCCTCCACCACATCACTGCCTAATGCATTCCATTTGTCAACCACTCTGACACTAAAAAATTGTGTGTGTGTGTGTGTGTGTGTGTGTGTGTGTGAACTCACCTATTAGTGCCTGCAGGATCGAGCATTAGCTCTTGGATCCCGCCTTTCGAGCCATCGGTTGTTTACAGCAATGACTCCTGTCCTATTTCCCTATCATACCTAGTTTTAAAATTATAAATAGAGTGTGTGTGTGTGTCCTGAAGACTGAAGGCTATATACTGAAGTACACATATCATATCCTGAATTACTGCAGCTGTTCCTTGAAGTACAAGTACCATGCCCTTGTGAAAGACGAGTGAAAGTAACACAGAGTTATTGATAGAGGAACGACAGTGTGAAATTACTTGTTAGCGTCGCCTCAAGAAATGGACCAGAACTGAGCAGCCGGGCAGGATCTACAAGCCTCGCTCGGAGCTGTGATCATCTTTTACAAGTAAAATAAAAATAATTTATATTTAAAAATACCAGTTTGTATTAAAATAATATATATTTAAATATATATACATAAAAATATCAGTTTGAGGTGGTTTCCTTTCTTCGATTAGTGAAACATTAATATTTTTCTACAATGCCTTTATATCTTGAGTTTATCTTGAGATAATTTCGGGGCTTTAGTGTCCCCGCGGCCCGGTCCTCGACCAGGCCTCCACCCCCAGGAAGCAGCCCGTGACAGCTGACTAACACCCAGGTACCTATTTTACTACTAGGTAACAGGGGCATAGGGTGAAAGAAACTCTGCCTATTGTTTCTCGCCGGCGCCTGGGATCGAACCCAGCACCACAGGATCACAAGTCCAGTGTGCTGTCCGCTCGGCCGACCGGCTCCCAGACTCCCATATACTCAAAGTAGAATGATGAACATACCAAACATATTGGGAACTATGTCTATGAATACAAATATATCAAAGTATACTGAATACATTTGACTGGGTTCAGAGATAACACCTTCACATTATATTCCGACAATAAATTATTGTCTGAATATATTACAATTATAATATCATAATTTAGCGTGTAAATTGACCATTAATGTTAATCTCCTCTTGTTATATCCAATAAAAGCAATACTTGATACTCAGAATATGTGGTATATCACCCTAGGGTGATGCCTGTAAGATTCACCCTAGGGTGATGCCTGGAAGATTCACCCTAGGGTGATGTCTGGAAGATTCACCCTAGGGTGATGCCTGGAAGATTCACCCAAGGGTGATGTCTGGAAGATTCACCCTAGGGTGATGCCTGGAAGATTCACCCTAGGGTGATGTCTGGAAGATTCACCCTAGGGTGATGCCTGGAAGATTCACCCTAGGGTGATGCCTGGAAGATTCACCCTAGGGTGATGCCTGGAAGATTCACCCTAGGGTGATGCCTGGAAGATTCACCCTAGGGTGATGCCTGGAAGATTCACCCTAGGGTGATGCCTGGAAGATTCACCCTAGGGTGATGCCTGGAAGATTCACCCTAGGGTGATGCCTGGAAGATTCACCCTAGGGTGATGCCTGGAAGATTCACCCTAGGGTGATGTCTGGAAGATTCACCCTAGGGTGATGCCTGGAAGATTCACCCTAGGGTGATGCCTGGAAGATTCACCCTAGGGTGATGCCTGGAAGATTCACCCTAGGGTGATGCCTGGAAGAGTCACCCTAGGGTGATGCCTGGAAGATTCACCCTAGGGTGATGCCTGGAAGATTCACCCTAGGGTGATGCCTGGAAGAGTCACCCTAGGGTGATGCCTGGAAGAGTCACCCTAGGGTGATGCCTGGAAGATTCACCCTAGGGTGATGCCTGGA